TATGAAACTAATTTCGAATTTTTTCACGTGAAAAATACTTAGGTTTGGCCCCAAAGGTGTTCTTTGTAAGAATCTGCACCGTTAATTAAGGAAGTTAATTAATTAATTATGTGAAATTAGAAAATAATTTCATAATTGACCTTAATAATTATAAGAAGGCTTAAAGAAATATAGAAAGTGATTAAGAATGCTGAAAGTCGCTTTTCGGATGAAAAGTGCAGATACCGGTTCTGCTACTCGGTATAAATGTGTACCGATGAAGTATCCCAGAAAATTATAAAAAATATGTATGTGTCACTAGAATAATACATAGGAATTGTAAAACAAGTTTTAAGTCAAAATAATGAGAACTGATGCCAGAGCTGATACTGGCTATGGAAAAGCGTGTACCGAAAAAGAGCTGCGAAAAATAAAATAAAAATAGGACAAATCTTAGAAAAATGAGTAGGTTTAGAATCCTAAGTTTGGGATTAAAATTCTAAGCGTAGCAATTAGCGTTAATATTGTGCGTTTAAACCTTAACCGCCTATAAATACTCATTCTTTGGGCACAAAACCCTAGACTTTCTGTTGATACGTGACTTGGGTGGCTGAAGTGCACTCTTGCACTGTTCCATTGACATCTTCCCTTGTTCTTGACCAAAACTCAACCTTGAGACCGTTTCTTGGTTGTTTCTTCATCCTAAACACTTGTGTGAGTGAGGGATACCTTTGTGAGGGTGAGAGGTAGCCTTTCTCTGGATGTCCGGCTGCTGTGTGTTGAGTTGAGGGGCTGACCTTTGTTGTTTGGTTTGTGGGAGCTTGGTGTTGGCATTTTGTTGCTTTAAGAAGCAACCTTTGGAGAGAAATGACCTTGTGTGTGCACCATTTTCGTGTCCTTGGGTGTGCTGGACTTTGGGAGCTTCAAGTGAGCTCCAAGAGCACCTTGTGCTTCTGTTTGAAGCTTGGGTAAGTGTTGGCAACCTTGATCATGAGTTTTAAGGCTTAAAAATGGAACCATGATGCATGTAATGAGCTAAAGTTGATAACTTAAGGTTGGATAATGTTAAACACACCTAGAAATGCATGTTTAAGCTTCTGCAATAGGTAAAAGTTGGACCTTTGGGAAGGATATCTCGCGAAATGCAGAACTGCATTCTGTCGTGAAATATCCGGATATGGGGATCTGAATATCCAGATATTGATATTCGGATATTGGAAGAGAGATATCCGGATATTGATATCCGGATATGCCCCCGACATATATCCAGATATTCTGGGGTTTCGTGAACAATGAAGGTACTGTCCATACAGAATGCTATTTTGGGTTTGTGGACCCATGATTGGCTACTGTGGACTTCTGTAATAATTAATGTAAGTCAGAATCTAAATGATTAAAGGCTTGTGGTTTTGTGAGAAGCCTAAAGACGTAAAACGTAAAAGAAAGGTGTTGTCTTTGTGTCTTATGCTTGTTAAGAATGAATAATGATATATTGTTGGTCCGAAACAGATTGTGATTCTGTTGTGTTTGGGCTTTGAGCTAGTGTGGACTCTTGGCAGTGGATAGTTAGCTTGCAAAGTAAGCTTTCGTGTCCTCGATTTAGCCATTGTTGGTTCCACCATATCCCATGGGGGTATGGTTATATGCATGATGTTGTTTTCATGATATATTGACTTGTGAAATGCTGTTGAGTTGTTATATGCGAGTGTTTTATGATATGCATGTGGTGTTCCACCTATACGGTAAGCCTTAGTATGTGGTACATAGAAGAGGGTGAGGCTGTGGGTGAGGTGCAGGCGTGTTCCTTTTACTTATTGTGGGGTTGTAGACGTACGTCCTGCATTTCTCTGGCCAGTAGAATAGTTAAAACACACATGGCATGAATATCTATTGCACTGCATATTTTTAGCACTTATACTGTTAAATGCTTTTGAACTTATATTGCTCGTGTAAGTGAGCTTGGGGTGGAAGATCCTTGAGAACCCCTTGTCTTACTGAGATTTCTTTTTAGAGATCTCACCCCACGTTTGAGGCACATATTTCAGGTTCAGGTAATGCGGGGGTTGAGACCTCCAGCAGCAAGAGGCCGGAGCTTAGTTGATGATTATTGCTGGTTATATGCTGACATGTTTGGATGCTGGATATATCTGCTGATGTTATGTTTTTAGCTTGCTTTTAGTATGCTTCTGTTGTTGAGACTTCTGTTGGGCTTTGTTGCCTTATTTGGGTGAGCATGGGGATTGTCCATGCCACTTTGATTTCTGTTATGTTTAAGTTTAACTGAGTTGTATAAACTATCAGGGTTGTCCGGTCTACGTGTTGTAGTTCCGTGACTAGAGACTTATATATGTTATTTAAGTAATGAGGTATTTCAGTTAGCTGTCTTTTGCAATTTACATACAGGAAATGTTTTGAAAATGATTAAGTAATCAAGTTGGTAATGATTAATGACGTCATAATTGAAAAGAAAAAGATATTCCGCATTTTTATTTAAGCGCAGCTTAATATGATGATATGATAACATTACCGGATATATATGGGGTGTTACATTCTTGAGAATTCAAACATTTACTCTTTTGACAATTTATCCTTCCAGAACTCATACTGTCATTTGAGTTAATCCTTACGATTTTATGTCTGTATTTCTGTAACCTATAACATTTCGTATTCTTGCTTTGTGAAAATATCTGCAATGCAATACTCTCATACAATGTATGTAGAAACGAAAAGAGATAGTAGACACGTAAATCGTAGAAATGACATGAAACGTAAAGTTTTTACTACTTAAGGTCAAGATACAAAATTATATATATATATATATATATATATATATATATATATATATATATATATATATATATATATGCATATAAAAAAAATATTACATAAGTCACTACTCAAAATTCAATAAACAACTTCATATTCAAAAGATATAAGTCACATAACTGTATAAGACATAAGTACAAAAACATAAAAAAGAGTTTAACAACTCCTATAACCAGATTCCAAAGCATCAAAAGAATAAAGTTCAATAACTTCTAAATTATATCAATTAATTCAAATCAAACACATCATTTTGCATGTCCTTAATGTCCTTTTCTCTTGCTCCTATAACAATTTCATTTGCAATAAAACATAATAGATTGATACAAAACTAACTTCAGCTTGATTCTCAAACTTTTCACTAATGGCTTCACTCTCTTCTTTCTCTGCAATAGCGACCTAACACGAGGTTTTTTTTTTCTTCAAATAGCTATGGGTTAAAAGTTGACCCGATTTAGTTTTTTTTTTTTTTTGTGTAAGACCCGGTTCAGTTTTTTAATTTAAGTAAAAACGTAAAAACTTGCATTGTTGCTATTTTTATATTTTTGCACGGAGTTTTTACCAGTTTTTACTTATGTTTTATCACGTATCATTTCAGTAAAAACGTAAAAACATAATTTTTACACTAATTTTTGACAATAATGCTCTCATAGTACATAACTGAATACATCATTACTAAAATTAGAAAAAAAACAAGACACTTTACTTATTTCACCCATCCTTTTATGATTTATGACATATGAATCCAATTTTTAATAAAGAGGTACCTACTCCCTTAGCACTCGAGATATGCTCGTGGTTTGCAATACATGATTTTGTTTAAAGAGTAATGATATTTGCCAATAAAAAACTTTTGCTTCATTCTTTTACTACTATTTTTATAAATAGAGAAAAAAAATACACATTTGAGTATACACTCTTTTACTTTCCATTTTCCTAATAAGTAAAATGTAAAAATGATATATGATTTTGGTGTATTGTCTGAACTAGGAATTAATCATATATACCCTATTTATTTTCTCTTTGGGTTCTATGGCTCTTCTCCAAGTTATAAAAGACCATATAGTATTGTTGGCGTTGATGGGTCTCATGCTTTTTTTGTTGATCTACTTTTGTAATCATTAATTGTTACAATCATTAAATTTGTTTTACTGTCCTTTGATTAAATTAAAACCACCTCCCTTATAAGTTATATAAAATTTCAAAAGCATCTTCGTAATAATAAAGACATTGAAAATGAATAGATCTAACTCTAGGGGTGCCACTAACGGCAATAGACACTTTGATGGTGTCGAAGATAGTGCAACAATGTCAATATCACAGTATTGGTGAGCCGAAGTTTCCATCATGTCAATCAAGACTAACAATAGGGGAATCACACAGTGCAATATTTGTACTTAATGTTCTACGTCTTATCAAGTTAGATCTTTACAAAATGTTACATAGACAAAAGAAACTGTTTATTTACCTCGAAGCTTCATACATCGCTAGCTAGCTTCTCATTTTGGTTATGCAGATCTTCAAAATCAAAATCTTGCATTATAAACGAGCCAGATTTTGATTACGTATATGACATTCAGACAACCCATGTGTTTGAAATAAAGAAAGTCAAAAAGATCATGGACAAATAGAGTGTTATATTATAAATAGTGTTGGAATTATTTATAATTCTTGTGAGTTAATTAGAATCAATTGAGTTTTTCTTATTTTAATAAAAAGGGCTAAGCTATTGTCCATATGAGGGTGCATTATACCAACTCGTTTGATTAAGTGATCATTTTGTTTGTGGTTGAATATATATAATCATAATTAGTAGGATAAACTCATAGACCCATGTTGATGAGAAGAGAACTATAGTTAAATTATTTGTTGGTCCCATTTGTATTTACATATTATTCCACAATTTGTCTCATCCACAACTGTGAATAAAGAGTAATGTGAACTAAGAGGAAGATGTAGTCTTTCAAATTTGCAAAATTATCATATCAAGCATGATAATTCCTTGAAATATTTAGAATCATGTTTACAACATTTCTAAAAACTGGTGTTCTAATTTCATGTAATTCCATTCAATTTATTTTTGTTACAAATAGTACATCTTTTTAGAGTCATACATCAATTATATTGAGAACAAAAAAGACTAAGTCATGTAAACTGCTAGTAAAATTAAATGTTCTTACTTCTTAGGCACTAACGGTTTAAAGGGGCTGAACTATGAGAGGAAGTCCATAAGTTGGCCTAAGGGAGAGTATGATAGAAGGTGAATGGTTATAACCTGGGGAAAGTTTAAAACTGAATCTAGAAAGGAGTAGGGTTAACATAATCTTATACTCCATAAAGCTTAAGTTCCTACCAACACACATCCTCCCTCCAAACCCAAAAGGCAAGTATCCCATCTTATGGTTGCATCCACCATTGATATCATCCATGAACCTCTCTGGTCTAAATTCATTCACATCTTTTCCCCACAATGCTGGGTCATGGTGCATTGCTACAACATCGATCCACATGTTCGTCCCATTAGGCACTGTTAAATTATCAACTTGAATGTCTTCTCTCGCTTGCCTTTGCACATTTGGTGCTGGTGGGTAGAGTCTTAGAACTTCATTCATGACCCACTTCATCTGCATGTAAGGTAAACATATACACATGTAAGATATCTTAATTATTGTAGGTACACAATCTCGTGTATCAATAATTTTGAATATAAAAATAATTAATTCACTTAGACAAATCAATATTCCAATATTATTTTTCCTGATCTTGCAATATAATTATAGTCAATTCCTTCGTGTTTATATTTAGTCGGTTATGACAAAATTGCATTAGTCCTTTGGTGGCTCTTGGTCACTATAATCCAAATGAAAGGAATAATAATAAAAAACAATTAAGATATGATTCAAACTATATCCATTTATCAAGTGCCAAGTGTTAAAGTGATACTTTGTCTCGTACTATATATATAATAAGTAGAGTTATATAATAAGTAGGGTTATATTGACAAACTTTATTTTACAAACTTAAAAATTACATTATATCTGACCGCTAATTAATACTTTACTCAAAAATGTATTACTAGTCAAAGATAATATAATTTGTAAGAATTTATAAATAAAAAATTTATAAATATATCTTTTCTCATATGTATAATATATAAAGTTGTAAAGTGGTGCAGTGGTAACACAGCATTCACAACAGGACTCAGATTTTGCAGCTTCACACGAGCTTTAAATCTTTAATTTGACGTGTGGGCCATTGAACTTTTTAATTCATTATTTGACGCAAATATAAATCAACTTAGAATCTGAGGTATGAACATTGACTTGGTTTAGCCTGCGACCAAACACGTACTAAACGTCACCGTAAAACACACAAATTTCAAAATCTTTGACTATTTGATTGTATTTTCATGTCGAATAATTTTGAAAAAAAAAAAAACATCTTTTTTTTCTCTATTATTTGGGTATGAATTTAATGATTTTCATATTTTACACCGATTAAACCTCTAATTTCAATCTGTACTCCACCTTGCCTTTAATGTTCAGAATTCTAAGTCCAAAAAGTTGTATGAGTTGTGTAATGTTTTTAAGCTTATAGTGTCAAACATATATGGTCAAGAGAATCCATATGTTAAGCTTATAGTGTCAAACATATATGGTCAAGAGAATCCATATTCATTTAGTCAATTAGACTTTCTCTCATTCTCAAAATCTAAATAAACTTATAAACCAAGGGTAAAATAGTAAAATTACGTGGCCAAATTTGTGGTGGAAATTTTGCCAAGATATTTTGAAAGCCAAAACAAATTTAAACCGACCACACAATAATTCCCAATATGAACATAACGTGCATGATCATTGATATCTAGTAAGTGAGATTAGGTTTACGTTACCTTTTTCAGCCCAGCAAGAGCATTGATATCAAGTTCCTTATCATTGATCACTTCTCTTATCTCATCTCTTAATTGGATTTGCCAATCTTCATGCATAGCTAGAAGCAACAAAGTCCATGAAATAGCCAATGCTGTTGTCTCATGGCCACCAAAGAAGAAGGTCTTGCACTCATCTACCAATTCTCGTGTGGTTAATCTCTTCCCTAACCTTCCATCAACTTGATGATTTTCTTGTAACAACAATCCTAATAAGTCTTCTTGAGTTTGATTTTTGATTGATTTCTTGCGAGTTGTTATGACGGCTAACAAGAGCTTATCAATTTCCTTCCCAAGTTTCTTTGCCTCAAGGGTCTTCTTCACGTTGAAACACTTGCCAAATGGTACCCCTACATATCTTGTTGTCTTAAAAAGGGTCATCTGTAGTGCCCTTAATTTTTCAGACACTTCCCTTCCATTTTCATCATTCATTCCAAAGCTTGTTCGTGCTATAATCTCCCCTGCCGTTGCTATAACCTCCCTCTCCACATCGATTTCAATGTTGCCAGATTTAATTTGAGTAATCCATCTATCTATCATTTGATTTGCAGACTCCATCATCATGCTCGTCATTACCTATTATATAACATAATATAATTGAATATGTTAGAAGACAAAAAAAAAGTACAAAAAATGAAATAACTTTAATCATGGTAGACAATTGGTGACACTCATGATAACATCAAGGAAAGAAAATTTTCCTTAGAATTCACTACTAGAAAAAATCTCTATAGCGACGGAATTGCTATGAAAATTCTGTCGCTAATTTCATCCTCTATACTACTTTCCGTAAATTTCCTCGCAAAATCGTTTGCGAGGGAATTTGTGACGGAAAATAGTAGCGAGGATGAAATTAGCGACGGAATTTCCATAGCAATTCCGTCGCTATACAAGTTTTTTCTAGTAGTGATTTTTAATTAAGGAAAGATTCTTGTAATCAACTCTCAATGGAGTTTGTTTTGTGGGCCATGTAGCTTCCCACAAAATGCTACTACTTACATAGTTGTTTATTTATTAATTTTGAGGTAAAGTAATGCATAAAGTTGAACAATATTCAATTAGGTTGTATTTCCATATATGGTATGTCTAAAGCATGAAGGTATCAACGACAACCACCATTTACAAATGTACGCATACTTAATTTTGAGGTAAAGGAATGCATTAAGTTCAATTAGGTTGTATTTCCATATATGGTACGTCTAAAGCATGAAGATTATATCAAAGACAACCACTATTTACAAATGTATGCATACTTATCAAAATTCACTATATGATGCCATGTGTAAACAACTTTTACTAGGATGCCACAATGGTCCAAATTGATTGATGAAATTAAAGTCGTGCAACCATTGCATATTGGAATTATTACTTAAAATGATGAAATTAATCTTTTCTCTAGAGAGAGAGAGAGAGAGAGAGAGAGAGAGAGAGAGAGAGAGAGAGAGTTAAACCTTCAAGTTAAGGGGAGAAAATGCTGGGGCTATAACATGCCTCTGACGAACCCATTCGTGGCCTTCAGCCATAACCAAACCATTTCCAAACATGGGTTCTCTGTCATTTCTAAACACACTGGGTTTTCCCCATCTCTTAGCCAGCACCTCTGTGGACATTTTCTTTAAGAATTCTGGGTCAGCAATGTACAAAAACGGTTCTGTGCCCAACCAATAGATGAAGACCTTCCCTGTAGAAAAAAAAAACAAAGTCATGCATATAAATAATCAATCTATCGTTTACCACATGGGTTTCTACATAATAAATGCTAATTCACATTATATATAACTATACATGTATTGGAAACCTAACCGTGAGAATTTTGCCACCGAGAAAAATAGGGGAACACAGTTGAGTGTATATCATGGGGAAGATTTGAGGATCCGAGTGATGAGTTAACGCTATTCTTCTTTTTCATCTCTTCAATGTTCCCAAGTGGAAAACTTGGGGGTGGCCCTTCAAACCCACATCTTTTAAGCCTTTGATGTGTTTGCATAGGTGAAACCCACCAAGAAAACATTAGTTTCAAGAGGAAAAGGAGAGTTATAATTGCCAAGGAAAGTGCCCCAAGGAGCATGAACATCTCCATCTCTCTCTCTATATCTCTTTCTCAGTTTGTGGTTATCTCTCTTAAGATTTCAGAATTTAAGCTATGAAAACTAATAGCTCAATTTCTATGTGTTTGTTATGGAAAAGCAAAGTGCAAAATGGGGGTATTTATAGGGTGAGATATTGGGTTGGAGAAGCATAGAATGCGTGGCTTTTGACCATGAAGAAGACCAGTGCTATGTTTGAATATTTTCCAAGCATGTTTGGTTAAACCTTTTAGACTTAGATTTGTGTTTCTCAATCTTTGCCTTTTTTTTGGAGGGACCAAATATCTACTTTCCCCTGGTTTGGTCGGAATATAAATATTCTAGAAAAATCACATTTATCTTTCCTTAAACTACTATTCTATATTCTATTTCCAAGTTTGTCCTTTGCTTTAATCAATTTTTATACTTCAACTATCCAAGATAATTAGACAATTAGAAGATTATGATGAATATTACACTAATGATTATAATTAAGATGTAGATATGATCTTGGTATATTAGGCAAACCAACAATATAGCTCAATTATTTATATCGTACTTGAAAAATAATTTAACTGTTTATAATAAATGCGTATAAAATTTGTCAACGATGACCAAAAAATTTTCAAGAGAATAATTTGAACTCGAAGAAACTTTGCAGGAATGTTTACACTTACATGTGTAATTAATTCATATTAAAAATAAAAACTTTTTAGCCCAAATCAAGATTGAAAGGATCTCTAGGCAAAAACAGTTGGGAAAATTTGTTAGGTAGACATTATATATTACAAATATATAAATTAGGGATATGATATTATTCCTACTTTATTCTTTTCTTTTTACACTATTAGATCACTCCTTCATTCTTTCTATCTATTTTCAGTGTTGGTTAACATTATGATCTAACAGTACGAAAAGAAATAAACATAAAAAAAGATAAGCATAATATATTATCCCTATAAATTATATGTTCGTTTTTTCTACAGTCAATGTATATAACTTATCTACATTGAGTTCAAAACGACATTATTTTAAGGCAGAAATCAAAGTATTTTTGCATTTATAATTTATTTCAGGGTTATAATAGTCTTTTTCAGTATAATTTTTTAATTTTTCAACCCAAAACGACGTCGTTTTGAGAGCGTATGTAAAAAAAACTTATCTAAATTCACCATAGAAACATTAAAGCCATAAATTTTTAGTTAAAATGTGAAAAGTTATGTCTATTATGTTAAAAATACAGGTTTGTCTAAGAATACATACACATTTCAAGCAATTAATCTGAATATCTATAATTGAAAGTACTTATCCAATATCTCCAAACGAATAACATCCATATATTTATACACAAATCATCTCTGGTCTACATAATTTTTATTGTCTGATCTCAGTTGATTTCACCTTATTATTTGTAGTTATTTGTGTTCTAATTCTGCTACATAATACCAAATATGAGAGACATGAAGCATCAGAGGTGCGTCTAACATTTTTCAATCCAAAAGTGAAAAATATCATATATATATATATATATATATATATATATATATATATATATATATATATATATATATAGAAATAGGATCTGTTTACAAATTTTTTTTACAAATTACACTAAATGCGACCGGTCGTACACTGCATGATTAAAGTATGACCGGTCGTACTTAGTGTAGTTTGTAAGAGTTTGTAAATAAAAAGGTTTGTAAATATAACCTGCCCCATATATATATATATATATATATATATATAATGGTCCACTGCTGTGCAATTTGGAGCGTTCAAAACCTTATAAACGCTGCATGCTATAAAACAATACATAATTTTTTTTTTTTTCTCAAGGTATCTTTTGGCCGATAGCCAAAGACTAATCTTTTCAAGGATGGATCGAGATCATATATTAAGTGGGTAAATCTTTCCCAACACAACATTTTCTATACACCCGTTAATTAATTAATTATGAGAAATTAGGAAATAATTTCATAATTGACCCTAATAATTTTGATAAGGCTTAATTAATTATGGTAAGTGATTAATAATGCTGAAAGTCGCTTTTCTGACGAAAAGTGCAGATACCGGTTCTGCTACTCGGTATAAATGCGTACCGATGAAGTATCCCGGAAAATTATGAAAAGTGTGTATATGTCACTAGAGTAATATATAGGACTTGTAAAACAAGTTTCAAGTTAAAATAATGAGAACTGGTGCCAGAACTGATACTGGCTATGGAAAAGCGCGTACCAGAAAGGTGCTGGGAAAACTAAAATAAAAATATGATAAATCTTAGAAAAATGAGTAGGTTCATAATCCTAAGTTTGAGATTAAAATGCTAAGCGTAGCTATTAGTGCTAATAGAGTGCGTTTAAAACTTAAGTGACCTATATAAGGCCTTGGCACATGATCCTAGGGAAATCCCTTGTGCCTTATGCGTGAGTTTCTGACTTCTCCAGCAGCTGAGTGTCTCTCTTCTTGTCACCTTCACCTTCCCTCACTCCCTTGAGCCAAAGGTGCCATTTTTACTCTTGGTTTCTCTATCAAAACACCATTCTCGCCTCCAAAACATCTTCAGTGGCTTTCCTGTTCGCCTCTCTCACGACGTCGAGCATAGCCTGGTTTGCCATTCTTATGGCCTCCTGGTCGGCTAGTCGAGCCTCCTGCATCTCAGCCAATGCAGCCAGGACAAGATCCGGCTGATCCTCAGCGGTCTCACGGTTCCTCCTAGATAGTACCATGACTCTGCACAAGTTACACAAATAATGAGTTGATCAGGCCCACGTAATGTGGTCACATATGCATTATCATAGAAAAATCCAACAGAGAGAACACACAAGACATACTCGCAACCAACATCCTAAGTTATTGCAATACATACAGGGTTTTCCCTAGAAAGTGCTCTGATACCATAAAATGTAACACCTTGTGTTAACCCGGTTTGTTAACATGTCTTCGTATTAAGCCACGCTTAATTTAAAAATGCGAAATAACTTTTTACTTTCAATTATGACGTCATTATCATTACCAAGTTGAAACACTTAATTCATTTTTAAAACATTGCCTGTATGTAAATTGCAAAAGACAGCTAACTGAAATACCTCAATATATAAATAACATAAATATGTCTGTAGTCACAGAACTACAACACGTAGACCGGACAACCCTGATAGTTTATACAACTCAAACTAAAAAGTACTAACATCAAAGCGGTATGGACAAACTCCATGCTCACCAAATAAGGCAACAAGCCCAACATAGTCTCAATTCAAATATCATAATAATGACAGAAAACATAAACAGCATCCAATATCCAGTCATGTCAGCATACAACATATATAATCAACTAAGCTCCAGCCTCCTGCCTCCAGAGGCATCAGCCTCCAAGTTACCTGAACCTGAAATAAGCATCCTCAAACGTGGGGTGAGATCTCTAAACAAGAAATCTCAATAAGACAAGGGGTTCACAAGGATCTTCCACCCCAGTTGATTACATGTGCAATATAAGTTCTAAAAGCAGTAATTCAATATCAGTTCTGAAATCAGTGCAATGCAACAGATATTCATGTCATGTGTGTTATAACTATTCTACTGATCAGAGAAATGCAGGAATACGTCTATTATCCACATAATACAAGCCCATGTTGTACCCGCCCACAGGACCACCTCATGGCTTCCCGTCTAGGCGGAACACCACATACATATCATATAGCATTTGCACTTAACAGTTCAATAGCATTTAAGTAAAACAATACATGAAAACACATCATGCATATAACCATCCCCCCATGGGACATGGTGGAACAAACAATGGCTAAACCGAGGACACGAAAGCTTACCTCGCAAGCTAACTATCAAACCCAAGCTCACACTAGCTCAATGCCCACAAACAGCACAATCACAATCTGTTTATATCAGAAATATCATCAATAACCATACTTTAAAGGTTCATTTCAATATGACAACATTTCATTATTCGATTACATCTTTTCTAGTTCATAATTATCAAGCATTAAGTCCCTCAATTAAAGGTATCACTGTTTCTCAACAGTTAGGGGTGTTCGCGGTCTGGATTGGATCAGTTTTGGAAGCAAAATCACTCGATCCAATCCTTTCGGTTTGATCATATAATCATCCATTCGATTTGGATTTTTTTTCAAATCTGATCCGATCCAATCCAATTTTTTCGGTTTGGATTGGATCGGTTTTCGGTTTTTTAAAAATCCTAAAATTTATTTCTTGATTATTGTGCAAATTACATCTTTGTATATATTGGCTTTGTAATTTTATTTTATTTTGAAATACAAAAGCATTAGTAAACTATAATATAATTTTTTTTTGGGCAATGAGATATGAAGGTTTACAAAGATAAAATTTTATTGATGAGATGTGACTAGATTTTTTCTTGGGTTTAGTTGATGGATTAATGGGTCTTGAGTTTAGAAATTTTTGGGCTATGATTAGGGAAAAACCTAAGTAGGTAGAGGGGAATTAATATATTCGATCGGTTTTCATTAACCCATCCAAAAACCGATCCAATCCAATTAAAATTTGCGGTTTTTTTTCGGTTTTCGGTTTATTCGGTTATCGGTTTTTCGGTTCGGTTACCGCGGTTTGAATCAGTTTGGATCGGTTGATGAACAGCCCTACCAACAGTAACACCAACTTCCTAGGCCATCATGCCCAAAAAGGGACTTTCCCACGCATAAAACTGGTTTCTGGTCATTTTCACATGTGGTAATCGATTACCAAGCACATGGTAACCAATTACTGAACTAGGTAACCGATTACCAAAAACATGGTAATCGATTACTGCACATGGTAACCGATTACCAACAAAAGGTAATCAATTACCACGTGGGTAGAACAGTTTTCTGCATAATTTTTCTGCATAATCCGAGGTGAAAATGGCTCCCATTGATCCAAGGTTCGGTTTTGACCCAAAACAGATGTTCATTAACAATTATTAACCCTAGATTAACAACCCTAAGCTTGAATGATTAAAGTTATCTCGTTT